TATTTATATATGGATGGATGGAGGTAAGTATATATATATATATAGTGGTGATGAATTGATTGCAGCTTTGATTGCGATCGCAGGGCTGTAGTGTTCAATTGGTGGTGTATGCATTATCTCTGATCCTTGATTGACTGGTAGTGATACAACCCATAAAAAACCAAAACAGTGCAGTTGTCTGCGATATTTATCTTGAGATCCAGGCAGTTCTAGTACCTTATAATCCACCAAGTGTGCCTATCGTCCATGTGCATTCGTTGTATTTACATTCACACATGTTCAATAAGCCCAGCACAATAGCCCGTTCTGAAGCCCTCCCATACCCCATTCACGTTCACAGGTAGAGATTGACGTTGGAAAAGACCACCAATACCACTCCGTGTTTGCCTGTCCCGTATCGCGCGAACAAACCACAGCGGAAAACCCGCCCATGCGGCTACCGTGTGGCCATGTGATTGCTAAAGTCTCTCTCAGAAATCTGTCCAAGGGTGTCCGGTTCAAGTGCCCCTACTGTCCTCAGGAACAAACCCCGGCCGATGCGGTGCAGATCTACTTTTGATTTGATCGGGTTTTTTGGTTGTGGTGGGAAGGACTGGGGTTTTATGTGATGAAGGAATGGTTTGCACTCTCTCTCCGTGTGTGTGTGTAGAGGAGCTGAGCTACACGACTCAGGGCGAAGATTGCAATAGCCGATGCACATGCACCATCGCACGCACGGGCAAGGAAAGAAAGTACGGTCGTGGATAAAGTTACAGCAGAACGAATAGTGTTGGGGAACGCACACACATCAATCGAAATCGTGACAGGGCAGCGAGGTTTCTGGACTAGAGTGGTGTACGTACGCGCTGATACTGACTGAAGTTATATGCCTTGTACTAGTACGAGAGTGTCAATTGAGATTCGTGCAGGGGTACAACGTGTGGACTTAGGTGTAGGGTGTAGGCTATGTTAGCTGACCAGGCATTAAAGTTATTCGCACCATTGTTACCATGGTGATGATTGGCAAAGCATGGAGTAATAAAAGCATTCGGCTATGATAAACACCATTTACAGCGTAGTTACCGGATTTGGCTAAGATATAGCTGCATGCACGAGTACATCTATAAAGCTGTACGTTCAATGAAATAGCAGTAAGAATAGGCAGACCCTTTGTAGTAGTGATCTACTGATCGTCGCAAACGTTATAAACCCTTCAGTGGCTATTGGGGTGGGGCGAATGAGGGCTCATCATTGCGTTCCCCTTGATTGCTTCAGTAGAGAATCTGATGCAAACGCCTCTCATTGTGAAGGGGGTGTTACCGTCTACGCTCTTTGTAACTGTACTTTAGGATAAGTGAACAAAGTATTGAAAGTTTAACGGTTTTTGACGATAGTTGGAGCTGAGTCTGGTTAGCAACCTGACGAGATACAAGTTGATGCAAGCCCTGTAAAATCCCTAAACCCTAAACCCTGGCCCATGCCCTAGCTACGTAGACATTCCCTTGCCAGATAGAGGGTTCGTAGGGTCTTCACAAGGAAACGCCTTCACAATCTGTACTATTCTCAGTGTACAATAAATAGTGCGAGGGCGATGGATGCAATCCGATATTGAACAAACTATGTCAAACTATGTAGCAGCACGTGAGTACTATAACTTATTGGATGTTAAAAGCTAGTAGAAGGCCACAGGAATGGGCTATACAACTGAGGGTTTTTGCCTAAAGCATGCCTTATGAGCCCCGAACGGCGAAACACCGACCGGGCAAAAGTCCAGCAAACCCCCAGATTAGCTGAACTTCTAGACGTATTACCAATCTGAGACCGGCATCGTGGTCAGCGTGGTCGAATTAGGAGTTGACAATACTTATTTCATCAACTTGCACTACCTATAACATATCTAGGAATGAAAGAAGGTATCCAGTATGAGCCTGTACAAGTTACAACACTTTATATAAATAAACCTGATCTAATGAAAGCCAGGGGTTAGAGTTCTAGAACCTGCGTTCGATGCTTCGGACTTCGGAGAAGGGGACACTCTGCTGAAGGGGCGGGGGGGGGGGGGTTGGAAAGTGATGAGTCACGATGATGTACACGGGAAATCATGTTTTATAATAATATAATTTTTGATGTGATAATTTGAGAATGTCAATATCATCGCCACTAAAAACTAACACAACATACTTATATGAACGCAGGCTACAAATCATAGCCTTCTACATTATTACACATAGAAATACGACGACCTCAGACCTTCTTGTATTCTGGAGAGAGCGCTAGTACATAGTAATACAATGGCTGTGGACATGTCACCTGCTTCTCGTGATCTGCTGATTCTCTACGCTTCCCAAACAGGCACTGCCACCGATGTGGCTGAGCGACTGGGACGTAAGGCTAGAGCGAGATTCTTTAGTGTGCGTGTACAAGATATGGGTGACTACAAGGTCACTGATCTGATTAAAGAGTCTCTGGTTATCTTTGTGGTGGCGACTGCTGGTCAGGGTGATGCGCCTGATAGCATGGTGGTATGTTTGTTTTGAAGTTTATTCGATTTAAACTTCATCGACTATACATGTACTCACGCGTATATCAATAGTATCAAGTGGAATAACCCATTTGATTGCTGCTTGATTTTTGTAATATTCATTTCGTAAAAAAGTATGTATCAAGGTGTAGATATATGCACATATCTATACCTACATACCAAATGAATATGTATATCACAAACACACACGCACACACACACACATATATATATATATATATATATATATATAATAGTGTATGAGTGTGTGTATGTGTGTGTGTGTTGTGTTGTATTAT